CTAAGAAGGCCGTGGACATTCAGTTTTCCTTTCAAGTGGTTCAACACGGGCATGTTACTCAACAGTTTGTTACCCAAAGAGAAGAATTTAACTACAGCAACAGGTTTGTATGATTAATAAACATATTTGACTATTTAGGAGACAGTGTAACATGGTGGCTATTAAATGTGCTTTCTAGAAGTTAACGCATGCCTTTGAGTCCAGCGCTGACACTGTGAGACCCTGGACAAGATAATATCTCTAAGCTTCAATTTCTTCATGTGAAAATGGGGCCATTACCTCTCTTAAAAGTGACTGAGAGGGCTAAAAGAGATAATGCGTGCAACGTGCTTATCTAGCACAGAATGCCCACAGTGACAACATATATGGCTTTCCCAGTCCCCCGGATGCTCCACCTTCATTAAAATCTGTTAAATCAACTATCTAAACTGCTATAGTACTGCACAGGATGTCTCAGTAATGGCATACTTCAAATATAGTCTTCCAATGAAGCTGTTTCTGGAACCTAGTTTATAGGACTTTTGATGATATCCTTAGTCTACCAAGTGGGACTTTCCCAGGTGTCTAGTACCTCACCATGATGTCAAGTTCGAAGCACCTTTTGAACATAACTGCTATGGGGAGAGACGCTGATGGTGTTATTCTCATATTCACATGTCTTGTCGTAAGATAGTTCAGAATGCCACACTAACCTCTATATTAAGCTAACCTTTCTCTAAACCACAAGTCATGAGAATTGGGGGAGGTGACATTTGACTTTACTACCTGTAAATGACCTTTCTCTGATTCATTTCCCTCTGCCACACCACAGGCCCTCTTTCAGGGTTATCAAGCAGGAAATGGCTCTCAATTTCTATCCCTGTGCTGCTTTTAGTTCCCTAGGTTTCCACTCTGTTTCTAATGCATTCTTCTATTTTTTTTCAATCTATACAGGATTGTTTAAACATGTGATTAGACTTTATTGTGAAAGGATTTTAGTTTATAAAGAGTTGGGAGTTTTCACAAACACTGAACACATAATTCCATGAGTTTTTCACAGGATGAGTCTTTCTGGCACTGGTTTACATGCCAAATATTCCCCTTGAGATGCAACCTGTCATCACCCCGCACTGGACTATGGTTATCTCCAGCAGAATCCAACCGATGGTATTACAGATCTTTAGACCAGTCTGTCCTGTTTTCACCTCCCAACTCCAAAGTCAAGTAACCATAGTGGTGGTTATTATCCTGTATCTAACTTAACATACACTAGACCATGTGTTCTTTTCCTGTTAACCTCTATTTCCGAGCTGTGTTTTCAAAAAGTTTAATTATTTTCTTTCCTTGTACTAATACTTGATTGGAGGTTCCAATAACTTCCTTATAACTTTTGTTCAATAATTTGAGGGTGTCTTATAAGAATGTGATTCCCAATGCCTTCTAGAATTGTTTTCTTGAGCACAGCTATCTACATTTGACTCAGTTCAAAGTTCCTTCCTTTGTACATTAATAGAACACATTTCTTCAAATGCTGAAACATCTACATGTTAAAGCAACCATGATAGCTTTTAGTGACATCTTTAAAAATGTGTGCTTTCATTTTTCTTCAGAAACCTCTCCAGTCTTCACCCTCTTGGGTCTAAGTTTAACTCCCCAAACTTGTAATTCTCATTTGGGATAGAGATAGCTTATCATCTGCTCTATATCAAAACATGTTCTCTAGAAGAAATCTGATATTATTCTATCAAAGTGTGAAGTTAAGTCATAATGTTACCTTTCTTAGGTACAAGAGCCTTATCTCTAATTGCAAAGTGACACTCTTCGGAATTGTTAAAAGAAACCATTGTTCAAGGTGGAGAGAATGAGCAGACCCTTACCACATACGACTCACACGCCACCCAGACAGACCCTGGACTATCAACAGGGTCAGGGAGGCAAAGTCGTCAGGTATTAATACGCCTGGTTTATGATCTTAGATTGTTTTCTTTGAGGCTATGGTTCCAGTTCTGGCTTCCTTGCTTCTTCACAGTGCCAATCTAGGTCGACAGGAGAAAAGGGAGGCCATTGTTCCACATCCCACTTAAAAAGAGAACACCACTTCAAAGAGAACACCACCACCTGACAGAAATAAAACAAATAATCAGTTTTAAAACATTGTGCCTATGTGTGCTTGTCAATCTCAACTTTACAGGGACTCCAGGTATTTTAGGGCAACTACTGTAGATGATTATGTTCTATAGCTAGAACAATAAAGCCACCTAAATAAATAATTAATATAATTTCCAAAACTTGTCCTCAATATTAGGAAAGTACTGAAATGTTTCAAATTGTCCTCTTCTACCCTGTGCTGAAAATAAAACCCAAATGTAAAAACACAGTGTTAATTCCTTGAACAAACAAAAATGAACTTTGATCCAAATTCCTTTAAAGGATAATAGGGTTTTTAAATCTAAAACAAATAAATAAGCCATACAAAGAAAACACAATTAATATTTCATAATTTACTTTTTGCCTACAATGCTTTTTCAAATTTTTCTTTTGCTAATTGCACTTAGTGGTTATAGAATTAAATGTTTTATTCCTTAATAATCAACCTGTTTCATGAATTGTCAGGTATTAACATAAAAATTTGTTTATGAAACTGGAAGCATATAATGCATTTTACTCAAATTTGTATTTGATATATAATTTTAATCACCTTTACTAATTATAGTGGTAAAATTCATATTATATCAACCAATTTATATCATATCACATTCTTGTCATAAACCATAAGCCAGAGCTAAGTATATTTGTAACATGACTTATGTTCCAAGATTTGACCAAATTCTTTATGGAATGAGAATGTATCTTTGATACTCTGCCAATTTTGTCCCTTGAAAACAGTTTAACACACGGAAAGTAGGTATGTGATTAGTTCCACATTCATCCACAAAGTACATGTTTATTGAGTAACAACTCACACCAAACGTTTTGCTAGTTCTAAGAAAACAATTGTTAGCAGGACACACATAATTCCAGCCCTTAAAAAAGATGACATTCTAGTGGGGGAGTGTTTGTCTTTTAAAAGCTCCACAAGTGAATAAAATACTTACAAATTGTGTAATTCTCATTAGGGATAGAGATAGCCATAAGAAAAGATGAAATACTGCCATTTATGACAACATAGATGGACCTTGACAATATTATACTAAGTGAAATTAAGCCAGTCAGAAAAAGCCAAGAACAATACGACTTTACTCCCATGTGGGATATAAAATTGAAATTCTGAGACACTGATAGACAATAGTATGGTGGTTACCAGGGAGAAGGGGATGGGGAGATGGTAGAGGGTAGAGGGTCCGGTCAAATATATGGTGACGGAAGATGATTTGACTTTGGGTGTTGGGCATACAATGCAATACAAAGATCATGCACCATAGTAATGTGCACTCAAAACCTATGTGACTATGCTCCAATGTCACTCCAATAAATTTAATAAAAAAGTTTAAAATCTCAAGAAATGAATAAAATATTCACAAATTATATAGTGAAGGAAATATGCAAGGTGCTAATATAGGGGTTGGTGCTGCGAAGGTGTAGTTTCAGTAGGATAGGACAGAAAAGATCAGGAAGAACCAGCTATGCGAAAAATGGTGGGGGTCAAGTATGTTTTCTCCCCATCTCCTAACCCCTTCCCCAAAGTGGACATTTAATCCATTTGAATACAGTAGGCAAAGAGGATGGTACTCTACTTCCCTGCTAGCGCATTTTTATGCATAGTCTAAGTGTGTATGTACTGTTAAAATGTGTGTAGTGTAGTTTATGGTAAAAGATGGAAAATGTTCTCTAACCACTGTAACAATGCTGTTGAGAAAAACTGTGAACAAAGTGAATTACAGCAGTTTATACAAAGGTTCCTCCCCGCAAGTGGAATTGTGAGTCTCAGTGCCCGGACTTCAATGGCAGGGGATAAAACAGAACCCTTAGTTTTAGTCTGTATCATAAATATAATCTTGACTTCCTTGGGGTAAGTTGACATACTGTGATCAGCAAATGAGAAAGGAACATAGGATGTTAAAAAAGGGGACAAGTTTTCCCACATGGTCTGATTCTCGCAAGTGGCTATTTGCCATTCTACAATCTGAGAGCCATTACCCCCCACCCAGATGCCACATTCTTGGGGAGACAGTCACCAAAAGTAAAGCACTATCTGAATGCTTAGCCACTAGAGGGAGAGAGTGTGCCTCTGGTGTTTAGGAAGCCAATGAAAGTAACTCATGAAAAGGATAGTCTTTCAAAACAGCTAAATTAAGCTCTAGCCAGTCAGGGGAGGAGGACTTTATCCACTGTGGTAAAGTTTTGAGGACCTTTAGGATGATTCCTTAAGAATTCACAATGATTCTTTTTCTATCAAAGAATTAAATTGCTTTCACTAGACAGACATTTCATCTTAAATTTCAATTTTTTATTTCTTTTCCAAGGACCTCCATAACTGTAGGAACTTAAACACTTAGGCTTAGTTTTTAGGAGTGATTTATAACAATTTTGAGAAGTTATGTTACCTTTTATATACTAGGAATCAACATTCCATTTTTCTAATTTAAGATTGAAATATTTGCTGTGTTTTGGGATGATTAAAATGATTTGTGTAATTCTATGTTGCCTTTCCCAAATATGACTTTTACTTAACTAATTGACAGGTTTAAAAAAAGATTTACCAATATATGACTCACAGAAAGTGCATTTTTCCCTTAAAATTGAGGTAAAGTCATTGCCAAATGATTTGCTCTCCAATGAATATTGGATTAGCTTGTTTGCACTATGGCACCGACTATCATTTTTTTCATAACTTGGTAACAACCCTACTGGCTACAATTGTCTAACAAATATGATGTACAAAATAAACTTGAAAAGTAATTCATTATAAAATGTAAATACAGTATTATACAGGTTACATGGGTATCAACGTGAATGAATTCCTATCTCATTGAAACATCTGAAGACATTATCCAAAATTTCCCAGACATACAGAGTGGTGCTTAAGAGATAGTTGATGATTTTATTGTTAATCGTCATTTTCTATCCTCAGCAGGGGGAAAAAAGAAAAGGAAAAATAAAAAAAAAGAAAGAAAAACCTCAGCAACTATTTCTGGGATTCTTGAAAGGAGGTGTTCAGTGCCTACTTCCAGCATTGATTTTCTCCACAATCTGTAACATGGTTTCTCAGAAATGCTTTTTGGCAGTCCTAATAATTTTATGTGTTTTCAAACTTAAGCCACCCAGACTCACAGTTCAGTATTTTCAGTTCCTTTCATTTTCCTTTTCCCTTTAATTACAGAAGTCTCTATTCCCTCTTTTTGTAAACGTGGTCAAGAAAAATGCTAAATGCTACTATTTGTAGCAAGAACACGCACTTAACACGACGATCTATTCAAGTTCTTCTCAAATAAAAATGCTGTGCGATAACTAATCGATGATATTGATGGGCAAAGCTTTACTCCGAACAACTTTTTGGACCCACGCGCGTTCCTTCGACTTTGATGGATGTGGCAGTTGCCTGGGGGAGAAAAACGCAAACAAATACTCTAATTGTAAACTTGCACTGGAAAGCACTTCCAAAATAGTAAGAGTTGAGCTTCATTTCAGACCTGAATTTCCTTCTCAATCCATTCCCGAGGATCCTTGTGTGCTGATTCGCGTCCTGGTCTATATGGTGCCATTCACTGGAATTGCATCGCATAGTTTATTGCGAAGCCTGAGTGGGTGGGTCCACGCGCACACCCCGACTCGGGCCAGGACGCCCAGCCCGGAGCTCCGCGTCGGGCGCCAGGATCGCCGTCAGCTCCCGTCGCCGGGCCTCGCCACAAATCCCAGTTGGGAAGAAAACTTCACGCGTCCGAAATGAGCCTCCCCTTACCGCGGCAACCTTTCTTTCCCGGCCGGCAGAAAACGTGAGATTTATTATGACTTGGAGGGAGCGGGTTGGGATCACGGTGGCGCTCTCGGACACGGGTTACCTGGGCCCCCCTTGGGGGCGGGATTCGCCGTCCGGGGTCTGCCGGGCGGGGGGCGACGCAGCCCGGCGCGCGGGTGGGCGCGAGGGAGTGCGCGCGTCGCCGAGCCGCCGGGGCAGCACTTGTCCTGTAATCGATTGCCGAGCGCGCCGAGCGGCCCAGCGCGCAGACACGCGCACACGCTCCCTTGCCCGCGCGCGCACACTCACACTCTCACACACGCACCCGCTCCCAGGCCCCGCACACGCGCGCGCGCACGTCCGCCTGCCCGCCCGCGCCCCGATCCCCGCCGCCCGCCACCCGCCGCCGCGGCCGCCGCCGCCGCCGCTGCCACCGCCACCGCCGCCTTCTCCAGCCAGCCCTCCGCCCGCGGGCGTCTGCGCGAGCCCGGCCGGCGGGGGAGATGTGCTCCGGCTGCGGCGGATCGGTTTCTCGGGGTTTGACCAGCTGTCCCGGGCTAACCCTGCTCCTCGCTGAAGATGGAGGAAGTAAAAACAGGATTACCCTTAGCTACAGATCCACTGCCTTAGTTTCCACCACCAACTGCAGTGCACAAACACACGTTAGGCACAGAAAAGAAAGAAAGAGAGAGGACACACTAACAGTAAACACAAACAAAAGGGTGATGGGATTATTTTACTGCATGCCCTGCTGAGGTAAATCTCCGTTTGGCTTTTGCGTGGTGAAGAACAGCTCTTGTTTTGTCTTCTTATTCATAGATTATATATAAATATATGTGTCTGATTTGCAAAGGGGGGGAGTGTTTTCAAAGTTAAGTGTAATTATATAGCATCTCGTTTTGCACTGTGATGTGATCAAATGACTTGTTGCTGTTAACCAGTAATAACAATAATGTAGATATTTTTCTCCGGGAGGGATGGCTTGTGGTTATGATTAGGGTAATAATTTCTGTAAAGGACGCTCAGGGAATCGGGATGAGGATGATGTCCTCTGCCTTAATTTATCGCCCCCCCCCCGCCCTGTAATCTGTTTCTGGGATGTTAATCAATTAATCAGTTCTCATATCTGTAGCTGTCATGGATTTGGACTTGTTTTGCTTTGTTTTAACTTGAATTCCAAGAAAGATTGGGTAGCTTGGCATAAATTGTAGCTGTCCAGATAGAAGGTAATATCCAGATCATGTTGGAATTAAAAAAGAAAAACACAGGTATGACACATGTGAAAAGGCAGCAGTTAAATCACTTTGACAGATTCTAGTATGGGCGAAAGAGATGGAATTGAAGATTTCTTTCTTTCTTTCTTTCTTTCTTTTGCCAAGGGCGAAAAATAGTCTTGTGAAGTTGGCCTAGGTTCCTTGCTGGGTTCTGCCTGACCGTGTCTCCCCTCTAACCGCCACCCCCCCCCCTTTTCTTTCAGTTTTCTTGTCTTAGCTTTTGGTCGATTCTTAAAGAACCGGTGGATCAAGTTTTTTCTCTTCTTGTTAATCGCATTGCTGTAGCACTGACTGACCTCTCTCTCTCTCTCTCTCTTTTTTTTCCTCTTTCCTGAAAGTACGTGGTGCCATTCCTGAGTGACTTTTCCTACTAGACCATCCCAAAGGGACGAGGGGGAGGGGTGGAAGGAGGAGGAGGAGGTGGAGGAGGAGGAGAAGGGGGGTGTTCCTTCTCTCTCATTTCTTGGTTTTGTTTATCAGCGGATCTGTTTGCTGGATTTGGGCTCGGAATGACCCACCTGTAAAGTGCTTTTCCTTCCTCCTCGCCTTGAACTCTGCAGGGGGCTTGGCTTGGAGGGGGCAAGGGAGGGAAGGAGAGAAGGGGGAAACACAAAAAACTTCTTTCTTTCTCTCTCCGTTTATCTTCAGCCCGACATTGTCACCTCTTCTTTGAGGGGTTAGAAGAAGCTGAGATCTCCCGACAGAGCTGGAAATGGTGATGAATCTTTTTTAATCAAAGGACAATTTCTTTTGTATGTACATTTCGTTTCTCTTTCTCCTTTTCTTTTTCTTTCTTTCCTTCTCTGAGGGTTAATAACCATTTCATTGATGGGGCAGACTTCTTTCGCTTCTTCCTGACGTGTCTTTCTTTTTAATATGTGTGTGTTAAATGTGTACATTTTTAAAGAGATAAACTCATTTGTAAAATATCCGAAGAAACTGCGCCCCTTTTAAACTTTACGGATGCCTTTCTTTAAAGCCTTATGTAATCATAATTTGAAAGAATTTGATAACAGTACAGCAGGTTGAAATTTAAGTGCTATGTAGTGGCCGAGTTGGGAATTTGATCTGATTATTCCATAAAGAAAGAAAGAAAAGTTTTTTGGGGGGTAGGGAGGGTGGTGGTGAAGAAGGGGAGGGGAGGGAGAAGGGAAGTGGTTTTGGAGACAAGAAGTGAAGCTGCCTGTTTTCCAGTAAGTAATGGAGAAATTCCAGGAGCCAGGGCTAAATATACTTGGCGATCAATACAGAAATGGCTCATTGTGAATAATTTAGCTGCTGGTGCAGTGAGAGTTTTGAAACTAAAGGCAAAAAGGACCAGGGCCAAAGGAAAAAAAATAAGTAAAAATCTCCTCAGGACATGTCAATTCTTTAAACTTTTTTCTTCAAAGAATACAGTTAGCTTATCGATCTTTTCATTATGTAAAATCAAAGCTAGGGGGTGTCATCTCATACAATTTACTTTTGTTTCTGAGAATTAAGTTCTTGTTTTGCGTCATTCGTACATGAGAATAATTCCCCAAACTTTGAAAAAGTGATTCCCCTCCCAACAGCAAAAAGTTTATGAAATTTTCAAAATCAGAATGTATTGAGTAAACTTGGCATTTGTATCCAACCATATTCTGGCAGGAAATTAAGGTTACATTGAACAGGTGCTTACACAGAACTTAGGGTAGGCTAAAATGTCAATATGAGTTCGGGAGTTGGGTGACTACAGCAGAAATCTTAGAGACATGCTTGGGCACTAAGTTTTTTGTTTTTGTTTTTTTGTTGTCTTATGTTTGTTTGTTCTCCCCCCTCCCTCTTAGAACATGATGAACCAACTTGCAACAATTGTGAATAGAGCTATCTGTGCACTAGGGAAGTCCTCAAACTGCAGGGTGATTGTGGGAAGTAATGATGGTAAAATACTTAAATCCCATTTCAAGCTGGCATGTGTGAGATGGGACCCCCTATTTTTTTTCTTTGAATCAAGTATATTCTGATGAACAGAGTCATTCCTTTCTTGCTACAGTCCATCTCACAGCACACTTATCTTTCCTACCCTATCTCCAGCAGGAATCAGATCATTTGCAGAAAGAGTTCAGTGACTTGCAAATGAGCACATACAGTACACTGTAGTATGTTTCTTGGGCACAGGTTGCAGCAGCAGCAACATGGGCTAACTGCTTGGAGCTTCAAATAAGTTAAGCATTTAATGGCAGAACTGAAAGGAATCATTGTGTTAAGGGTATAATCTTTTGTGTTGCAGCACTGCACTTTGACTATGGAAACAGAGGCTATTGATGGCTATATAACGTGTAAGTATTCATTTTCATGAATTTTTTATTGCTGATAAAATTATGCTTTTTGTCTTACCTGTATTTTATAACTTGTCAGTTGTAAGTTTTTATTACAGATTCTATACTCTTATTTTCTATCTGTTCACAATTCCAACTTTAAATGAGTTTGATAAAATAACAGCATACAGTGAAATAGAAGAAAATATAGAAATATACTTACTATATTAAGGCTAGCATGTAAATCAGTGGTATCTTAGAATATCCACACTTTCCGACTTGATTACTAAGTTTAGAATAGGTCGGGTTAAATATATGTCTGCTAATCTGGAGTGTACTAAATATTTATTACTCAGTAGCCTAATTTTCAGACACATACTGGGAAAGAGTTAGTTTCCTTAAGTTGACATGCTTTTTGCCAACTCTCCTTTCAAACACCCAACTCTCAGCCAGCATTTTGGAAAATGCTCATTATAAATACTGTATGTAGAGTGATTAAATTGGATGTTAAAATAAACTTATTTTTTTCAACTAAAGGATACTTTGGAAATGAGCTACTCCTAATTCCTCTTATTTTACAGTTAAGATTATCGTGATAATGAAATTTTGTATTTTTTTAAATTGTGGGCTGGCTGTGTGGCTTTTCGTCATTTCATTCATTCACTGTATATTTTTAAATGATATTTCCTTATAGTTTCTTTTAAGGAAAAGCATATTACATTAAAATTCTAAGGCTATTCATGCCACTGCATGTATGGAACATAGTTGGTAATTAGATGTTACATGACCGTGAACAGAGACCAAACATTTTATTTTGTGAAAGCAGGTGACAATGAGCTTTCACCTGAAAGGGAGCACTCCAATATGGCAATTGACCTCACCTCAAGCACACCCAATGGACAGCATGCCTCACCAAGTCACATGACAAGCAGTAAGTCTTCTTTTTATGATTTTTTTCCTGTTTCTCTGGTGACAGACTTGAATTTGTTAGGTCTGTGGGGTCCTCTCACGTTGTTGTAGCTGCTGGTATAGATTTTGCTAAAGAAAGAACAGCAGAGATTTATTCCTGTTCCTTCTAGTATCATAAAACATGAGTCTGCTTACTAGTCTGAACTATCCCAAGGTGGCATTTGGGAGCTGGTGCTTACCTGTCTCAGGTAAGAAATGTTAGGCTTTTCTGGTTATTGTTTTGACTTGCCAGGTTTATGACTAGATTTATTGTTGTTGTTGGATTGAAAAAAAAAGGATGGAAACGTCACTTCCAAAGGACTCTTCACAGTAAAAAAATAAAATAATTTTATATTGCATTGGTACAAAGCTAATCCATCAGTGGCAGAATTGCAGTGTTACTTACTTTTTTAAAAAACATGTGAAAGTTTTTCCTCCAAAGTGTTGGAAGTTAAGTGTAATTGAAAATTCGTAGAAGTCACTTACATCCATTTCTCTAACAAAGTGAATGCGTCTTGGTTAGGACTGTCCAGAAAAGAACTGAGAAAAATTGGAAGGATGTTTTGAACTTACAGGAATAGACAGTTTTGGCCACTGTTTTCGATGAAGAGTCATTCATTGTAGTAAACTTTTTTGTGTAATGAAAGAGCAGCTTACATGTTGTCAGTGACAGAAGACAACATAATTTAAGCCCTAGTTTAGTTTCTGTTCTCTTCTAATGTTTTTATTAGTTTAGATATCAAGTGCAAATGCTCTATTATTCCTATTCAAACAAACTTTGAAATCCTGTGTTTCCCTTATAGTTTTAGTGTATGTCATATACTTGTATAGATAGGATGTCTAACTTATATTTAACTTAGAAGTTTTCTGTTTGAGTGATATGTATAAGAAAGGTATTTTCTTTCCTTTTTTAAATGAAGATTTAATAATTAAGGAAAACTGAATCATCTACTGAATTACAAGCATATCCTTAATTTTCATTTTTTGGAGAGAACAAATTTTCCTTTCCAATTCCCTCTTACAGTTCTCAAAACTTAAGGTTATTTTAAAGCTACTGGCTTTTTTGTAAATAGTAAAGACTACTGAATTATAAGCAAAAGTATATAGAGTACTATTGAATATATTTTGCATTTATTAACTTTAAGTGATTCTGTCTATTGACTTGAAATTTGGTTGAACTGTGTGAATTTACTTATTTAATAGTTCTCTTTCTTTTTGTTAATGGGAAACACTTTCTAGGAAGATTTCATTCTGGAAGCAGTTGTTGAAATTCTTTTATCACATAGAAGGAAAAATTAATAGTGAGTGAGTGAATGTATATTAAATTATAGGGCTAATCACTTGTAATGGATTTTGTAGCATTAACTTATTTTTTGCTAGTTGGCTATAGATTTGATAAAAGTTATATTATTACTGTAATATAGGCAGTGCAAGTTTTACATTTTAACATTTTAACAATGTTACTCGTTCTTTGGTAGAATAGATTTTTATTTCTCAGATAATTTTTGCGTAATTTCCTAAGGGGAAAGATGGATGAATATGCAGTTTCTGTTAGCCAACTATTTAACTATTGGCTTTAGAAACATTGAATATATGGGGTAGATATTAATGTTAATCATAGACTTTTGACTGTTACCCCCTAGCCACCACTGGAATATCAGCAGGAAAATGCTTTTTAATTCGTCAATTGCCTCCTTTATTTGTGAATTTGATTCTGGTTTTGCAACCACCGGCTTCAGAAAGGTAGTTCACCCATTTACTTTAAATATGTAGTGCAGAGTGTAGGCTTGATCAGGTTGAACAATGTACTTCTGACATTTGGGCTTTTCACACCCAATAACATTAGCATTACGTTTGGTAAAGAAGTTTTTGTTGTTTTTGTTTTTTCTTCTAAAACTTACTAGCCTGTGGCAGTTTCATGTTAGTGTGGTTTTTGGCTGAGCTGCACATGTTTTCACATTCTTTTCCAAAGAGTTGCAGGTTAAATATTTTGGCTCTCACTTCAGAGCTGTCTTGCATCCTTTATGTAGCCTCTATTTACAGTATCTAGGTTACCCACTTAGGTGTTAGATGCAGAAGATACCCATTTTTCCTTTCTGTTAGATCTAGGAGAATATCAGCATTTGATATTGCCAAAGCAAAACAGTAGTAGCAGGAGACTCTTGTCTATTCATTTGAACAGGACACCGGGAATCTGTCACTTGCGTTTTCCTGAAACTTGAAATAATTTGTGTGTGTGTGTGTGTGTGTGTGTGTGTGACCTGTCAAATCACTTGTGTCTGAGATCACTGGTTTTTGTAAATCCCTTTGCATGCATTCTTGACTTCATTAAAAGCAAAGAACTTAATTCATTTTCTGCATTTTTATATCATCATATATACTTCCTGAAAGGCTATTGCTTCCAAAAACAGAATTGCAATTTTGATTGAAAGTATTAAAGCCAAAAAAGTAAATGTGAAAACGCTTCTGATAGATGGCTTCCAGTAGCAGCCAGGAGAGGAGAGGAGTATATGTATAAGAGGGAAAAAGTTATTTTAAAATGATTTAGAAAAAAATTAAAAAATTAAAACCTTTGGTTTTTATAAAATAACTAACATTCTGGCAGGAAAGTATTGATAAGATGCGATAGCCCACTTATTTTGGCTTTCGGAAAGTGGTAAGTTTTACTTTGCGATCCTGGTCGTTTGTTTAGGTTGTTTGGTGGCTATTCTAAGATGAAGAGTATCTGTACAACGTGCTGCCAGCTATTGTATAATAAATAATGACAGCAGCTATCACTATTTGACAGGGCTAGAAGAGAGCATTGGCAACATGGGAGAGAACTAAAAATGTTATCATGCCTGACAGTTTTTGGTTTCAAAATTCAGCATGTAAGATAACCTTAAAAAGAAGTAAGAGGTATTCGAGATCTTAACATCTTATAATGACTACTTCCTATGTTTTAGAATGAATTTTCTTAGAGGACTTTAGACTTTTTCTTCTGAAATAAAGATGCCTTTGATAAGAAGATGAGCATTGTTGCCTGAGATCATTAGTGTACACACTGAGTCTGCTGACAGTCTTCGGTGTCAGGGATGGCAGTACATGCCTTGATGGCTACTGGAAATACAGAGTGTTCAGTTATTTTAAAAATAGATCCTGGAAGTTAAGAATCTGAAACAGACAACTCAGACAGAACAATATAAAAATAATCCATATTGTATTTCGGCCCATCAGATGAGACTTGCTTTGTGATTCCTTCTGCTTCTGGGCTAGCTCATTTCCAATTCTCGCAGAGTTGCTTCAGTATCGGGTTCAAACTGGTCTATACCTGCTGCTGACTCCTGTGAAAAGAATTTTAAGGTTCAAAAATTTTCAAATAATTTTGTTTTTCTTATCTACCTGTATAATGCCAATGAGTGAATTGTATCTGGAGATAGTTAAATGGTATGAAAATACATCCTAACACAATCTTTGTTTCTGTTACTTTAAAATCTTTACATGGCTCAAGTTTGCGGTCAATAATATTTATCAGTCAGTTTGATGGCCAGATGGCATGTATGGAATTGGAAGAAGTAGTAATTCTAGTTTTACAAGACTCTGACCAATAATCAGGTCAGGGAATCTAGTTTATCCTTTTCAGAGTGCTTCACATTAATTTTTTTTTCACTTAGTTTCCATTTTTAGAACCTAGTGAAGCAGAAGTATGTTCTGATTTCCATTTTTCATATGTGGAAATGGAAGCTTAAAGAAATCAGGTGGCCTTTTAGGTCCCTCAGCAGAAGGAAGAAGTTGTCAGGATTGGGACATAAAACTGTGATATTACCTTGTGAGTTAGTTGGATTACTTAACTGATATTTCTCTGTAATATCATTATGTCAAGATGCCCACAGTGGCCAATACTGACCCATGTTTTAGTGACAAAAGCAGTATTACAGAAGTAGAAGAGGGTTATTATGAGGGTGGAGTAATATCAGCTAATCTTGCTCTAGTGCACTTATAAAAATAACATATCATGGGACTCACCAGCTTTCTGAGTTGTCTTCTATAGCTTAGTTTGGCCGTCACCCTTGGTTGGATTTCCAGAGGATACACCCTAATCTAACGTCAGGTGGGCTTGATGTGGAAACTCACTGTTTTGAATTGTAGTATTGAGGTTTGTGTAGATACTCAACATACCTTAGCTTTTACTTGTTAGGAATTTTTTTAAAGTTTGATTTGATTTCTTATGCCTTATCAGATGTAAATGTCATGGCTATGTACCAAAAGAAAAAAAAAAGAAAGAAGAGGGAATCAAAGGAAGTATGAATGTGCAGAGAATTAATAACAAAAATGCTGTATTTTTTTCTTGTATTTTATTTCTCCCTTCCCCCATTGTTAGGCTGCTTCAGCGTAAGCATAAATGTCAGTCTTCAAAAAATGAAACAAATTTATTATAGAAGTGTTATCATTATTGGCTCTATCTTTTTCCAAATCTGTCTTCCCCACTGGAAGTACATTAAAAGAAATGTAACCAGGTTAATCTGGTTCTGTAGGGAGTCTCACTTCAAGCCTAGTGGGTTGAGATCTCTGGGTTTCATGCTCTTCTCCCCTAACTTTGAATATTGATGTATTTTGATCTTCTGGTATTTTAAAAGATCAATAGCAGGGTCACAGTCCTGAAATGAATAGAATATGTTGTTTTTGTTTGCTTTTATCTGTTTATAGCAAATATACTTATTGATCCGGTAGTCTTTTCCTTTTGCGGATTAATCAATAGTGAAAATATTTGTGCTTTGAAGCAGGTGAGGAGTATTTAGGAACTATTTCCCTTATTTTAAATGTTTAATCACTACTGGAAGGAGAGAAGGGAAGGGGGCATAATTTCTGAGTGTCCGTAGGATGCCCCTAGACCTATGCTCTCTGCATCCATATTATTCCACTTAGTTTCCTCAACAGCTCTGTGAGGTTAAAGGTTACTCTGTTCTATAATACAGAAAACTGCTGGTCAGTGGTTAAAGTATG